GGAAGCTGTTTAAAAAAAAAAAAAAAGAAAAAAAAAAAGGTGTCTTAAAATTGTCTTCACTGGACAGTTAAAGCTGGTAATAGTTAAAAATAAATCAGAAAAATTGTTTTAACTGATGCCAGGCTGTGGGAGATGACGATGCCTACTCACACAGAGAGGGGAGAGGGAATGAGGTCACTCCATCCAGTGTCACGATACACACAGACACATAAGTGTGCACACAAGTACACACACAGGCACACACAATATATGGTATTAGCCACCCCAAACATTTCATTATTGTTGAAAACAATATATAAAGAAGCACAAAAGTACTAGAAATCTACTCGGGCAAACAAATGGTGAGCTGTAAAGCACTAATGGAAGGAGTACACACCAACTCTGAAAAACAGGAAGGTCACAGTTACATCTTTTCCCATTATTACATTATAATGGAAATAGCTGACTCAGCCGGCCCACATCTGTGCAAGTTCTACAGAACAGAAGCCACATCATCAGCCTAAAGCGGACTTTGCTGGAGAATTTCTTCCTCCCTTTCATTCTTCTTTTTACCACAACCAACACAAATGACAGATATTTTGGTGACTCAATCATACAGTCATTTTTTGATTTACTGTCAGGGAAAAATGACACTTAGCTCTTGGTAAGCCTTGGACAGACATGTGACAAAATAGAATGAGTCTGAAGACGTACAAGACAATGATTTTGGGATATGACGCCATCCTCTGGTAAAAACTGGAATAGACATTGATGAACTTTGTAGACATGTTATAAACAAAAGCAAGAGTTTTAAGTTGTTTGTTATATCTAACAAAATAGCCTGCGGTGTAATTTACATCTGATATAAACCACCTGCATATCGTAGATACACAGAAGATATCGTGTAGCTGATCAGACCATGATGGTAACCAGTTTCTCTTTACAACCATTATCAGTTCGCCATCTTCTAACTGTCAAAATATGGACAACATATGTGCCAGATGAGTCAGATGATTAAATGTGAATGCGGTTAAGTTCAATGGACATGTACTTATTGCGTCTGTTTTGTATAGCTCCACTACTTTGTGTGCACTTAAGAGAGTGGAAAGGCAGAATTATTTCATCATTGACAGACATTTCCTGCTACTTTTTAATGCTATTACAATTGCTTGCCATTAATTTAAATTGCATAACATTTCAAGATCCCAAACTAGGGAGACATTTGCATCATCATATGCTCAGGTTGATTGAAAATGTATTTATAGTAGGTAGGTAGCTTCACATTTCACCAATGTGTTAGTTTTGCTTTGTCCTCACTTTAGTCTTATGGCGATGTTGCTCATTAAAATGGAAGATTTCTTCACAGCCACAGCTGCTCAGAGTGAGGTGTCTTTCTCCTGTTTCAGTGTCTTATCATGAACTCTACTGGGACTGCAGCACTTTCTTAATGCAGTGCAACATGACGTTTTCTCTCTGTGAGCATTTATTCTTCACATGTAAAAATGTCTCTTCTCTTTGTATTTAAAAGCAATTTATTCTGAATAAAATAAATGTATATATGCAAGTAGGTATGTCTTCTGTACTAACACATGTAAGGAAATTTTGTCTGTACACATTTCCATACTATCAGTGGTTTCTTACCAGATAAAGAAGAAAGGTGTGCAGGCCAGTCCCAAGGCCTACTGAGGACAGGATACCAAGGCCTACCCAGTAGGCACACCATAGGAACTTCTTCTCCAGGTATTGAACATACTACAGCAAAAGAAATAAACAAAACATATCAGAGGGGGAAGAGCACAGAGAATGGTTAGTTAACTCTCAGAATTATTTTAAGCTTTTTTTCAAGTAGTGTTAATAGCAGTTTTAGCCATTTAATAATAATAATAATAATGTCTAAGAAAATTGGATTATACTGTTATTTATTACACATTATGCTAAAGAACTCTTAATGTAATCATATGATTATGGAAAATGAAAACTTTCAAAAGTGTTTAATTCATATCATCTGGTTTTAGTGGAAAACATTTTATTTATTTTTTATTTTTTTCCCCATGTCATCTCTTACCTTTGATTACATGTAGTAGCTCAACATTAGAAATGTCAGTAACCTAGGAAGAAGTTTATTCTAAAATGAAACTTAGCCATCCTTTAACTGATCTGTGATAGACCACTGCACAGAGGAATTTGTAAACAGAGCATTCCGCCAATTGGCTGTATGATCAAGGGTTACTTGACAACAGTACAGACCTCATTATCTCCCTGCTTAAGCTTTCTTCTAGTCTAGTCTTCTTAGGTGGATAAAGAGAGACTTATCATTAACCTTTAAACAGGTTGGTGATGAAGCAATGCTGTTGATTATTAACATCACTAAAAACAAATCTCTCTCAAGCCTTACTTGTTGGTGTGCTCCCTCCGTGGAGTACGCGATGGAGAAGACAGAACATAACACCAAAAATAAGAACACTATGACTCGTCGCTGCCAAAGCCTGAACAGGAAGGCAAGAAAACAAAAAGTCAATAATGAAACAAGTTTAAAACAAACAATGAAAAAATGTTTTCTTATTTCTGTGAAATTTAATTAGAGGGGCTTGACATTACAAGTGACCTTGTAATTTGAATGCAGTTTCTCCATAAATGTAAATGTCATAGATCCTTCTGTAGTGTAAAAATATGCTCACTAAAAGTTGTACAATTCCAGATTCTCAGGGATATAGAATTTTTTTAAAAATTTGATTCAGTCAGTGCACAGGACAAAAGGTCCCTAACACGTGAGCATACACATCCTGAACAAAGTGCACAAACAAAGGCACACTAGAAAAACCTGTTTAACTCCTTACTTAAACGTCCACTCCTTTAGCTTGATGAGGGTCTCCAGGAGGAAGTAATGTAATGTGGTGACAGGCCTCCTCCATAACACCAGAGACAGACGCTCCTCTTTATCTTTCTGTCTTCTCTCTCTTATTGATGAGTCTGGAGCACAGACAGAAATGCAATCATCCTGACATACTGAAACATTAGCAGCTACATCAATTATAACATCCTGTTGAATTGGCAATGCTATATACATGACACAAATCACAGCAAGAAGCCTGTTTCTGGTTCTGTTCTTGTTTCCTATAGTCCACGTTGTCTGCACGTTTAACAACTGAAAGTAAGCTAAAATAAATCAGCTTTTTATGTTTTTATGACTTGTTGGAATCATGTGGTGGTAGTTATCATTCGGTGTCATCAGCGATTACACAAACCTAACTTTTCAGAGACACTTCAGAGATGAATGTTAACTTCTGTAGGTTTACCAGAACTAACCTGGAGACTTGCCATTCTGTTTGTCTTTAGGTCCTGCACGTTTCTGAGGCTGTTCACAGCTTGCTCCATTGGCTGCCATGTCAATCACCGTATAGCAGGTCAGGCAGTCTGGGGCGAAAGTGACAGAATGACAAGTTGGTGCCTGTGGTTCAACTGTGCCCTTCCCACAGTTGTTTCACTTCTTACTGACAGATAGAAAACAAGAGAGACTGTAGGACTCAGACCAGTAATGAACTCCTTATCAGCGACTCTTAAGCAACACAATATCTGTATGTTAATGCGAGCATTGCGTCAACACACCGGCTAACTAACATTCAAATTACATTTGTTGATTTCGAAGAGAAAATATTACATATAGCGATAAGGTGAAGGCACGAAAAATAATTCCGTGCTTCACGACAGCAACGTATACAGTTGACTGAAATAATCGTCGTCGTGTCTGTCAGTCTGTAACAAGAAATGATGCCAAATGCGAGAACATCATCATCCTCCACATGCTAACCGGTTAGCCAACACGCTAATGGCTAAGCTAGGGACGTTGGCAGTCTCTATATCAAAATAATGGATTTAAAATCAATAACGACTCGCCTTACTTTTGGAGAATTATGTATAGCCGTTTCTTGCTGCTGTGCCGTTGTAGTAATGAGAAAACATCCACTATACAACAGGGAAACTAGGCGATGTTTGTTAAAATTAAATGACAGCCGTACCTCTTTCCTGTCCTGTTCACCCGGAAACAAACGATGGACGTGCCAAAGTAAAACTGCGTTGCGATTCAGCTGAGAAGTTTCTGCTTAAGTAGGTTTGTTATTAGTTTTGTAAGTAGGAACAATCACTTGTATGTACGTGGACGCGAGACCCCGCACAAATATAGCACTTACGTACCTTTAGCTTATCAATAAAAGACTTTTATTGTGAAATTAGTGTGGAGACATATTTCCGTAAGTTCTGGTATGTGGTCCAATCGGAGTTTGCCAGATTTGCCAACAAAACTGTTAGTCGGTACACTTTTTTGTTTTATCTTAGTTGTAGCAGATGTTTTTTATGTTTTTACTTTATGGAAATCTAATTGTAAATAAGAGAAGGGGAAACAGAATATGAGAGTTAAAAGCACAGATGTCACAAACCAGGTGAAAATGACATTGCTTCTATTTTTAAATTCTTAAAATTGTTGCTCAATCCCAGTATTCGCCTTCATGTCAATCAGGGCTGGGGCAGTCCAACTGTGAGACAGGCAAGCATGCTTCAAGGATCTCACACACATTGCAAGCCATACAAGTCTGCAATGCTGCAGACTGTACATTTTGTAGGCCATTATGAATTTCAGACATTGAGCAACAAACACTCAATTTGTTGAGCTACATATGAAATACAAGTCTGGCACTTTCCTGGCAACAGAAATTCCTCTAAGCTGAAGTACTGGCTCAATCCTCATATAACATATAGGCCTCAAACATTCAAGCAGAACTGATGTTAAATAAAGCCTCTGGAGGTTCAGTGGTTCTATTTTAAAATGTACATTGGAACAGGGCCAATGTGTCAATTTGTGTACTCTGAGGAAAAAGACACAAGACAGTTTCTTTGTTTTATTACAACACTGGATGAAGACTGAGTGTGCAAATTTCAACAGTTGCAGTCATTTTCATTCTGAATGTGTCTTCTTCTTCCAAGAAAAAAAGAAAAAGAAAAACTATACTCATATATGCCATAAAATATTATATTCACATTACTTTATTTTTCAATTAACCAGACTTTTCTGAACAGGAACAGCTCTTCATTCAGTGTTACTAAAATTAGTGGTAGGCATATTCCAAAACACAATTTTATATACCAACCTAACAGTCAGTGACAGCTGGATTCAAACTAGAGTCAAATATTGACCAAGGAAATGTTTTAAAATCACCCTTTTTAACAACCAGGACCCACTAAGTGCCCAAAAACAAATGTATAACTGTTGTGTTGTAGTTAAAAAAGAAAAGATGATTAAAACAAAAGTGAACATGACAATAAACAACACAAGAAAGTGCCATGGTTGCCCTACAACTGCTGCATGTAACAAGATTTTATACAGATCAACCCACACTGGAAACTAGTCAGCCAAATCAAAGTTCCTCATTGGCTCAAGGAGACATTGCAGCTTATAAGGTCTCAGGCAAGGTTACTAATAGGAACCATAGGCACTGGTTTAGCAGATGGCTTGTTCTATTCCTGGATAGTAACCTAAGCAGGTAGTGATATGGTAGTCCTTCCCTGTTGGTGTGTCTGGTTTCACTCATCATAGTGAAGTGAAGACAGGAACTTGTCCACATCCAAGTCATGGGGAAAGCAATCTATAAGTTTCTTCCTCTCCTGCAGATAAAAAGCAAAAGTCAGAATTACACAACAAACAATATGTATCAAAAATTTTAATGCGACTGATGAGACAATCTAATTGCTTATCAAACATGCAGCATTCACATAAACACTTAATTACCATTTAAATAAAAAACACTGATACCAAAGGGAAGTTCATCTGATAAAACACCTCAGCTAGTCTTAATTTTTTTTATGAGTTAAGACAAAAAAAAAAAAAAAAGATTGGCCTGGGGGACTTCATTCTGGTGGCATCAGAATGAAGTCCACGTTGTTACCTAAATCCATCCATCCACCCTCTAAACTGCTTATCCTGCTCAGGGTCATTGAGGACACACTGCCACTCTATTACAGTGCTAACACACAGAGACAAACACATTCACACCTACAGGCAATGTAGTTTGAAATGCATATAATCTGGATGTCTTCAAAAGAGTTTATTTTCTGTAATGTGACCTTTTTTGGACATATCAGACTCAGCTTGTCAGGCTCAGTTCAACGCTGAAAGACTAAACTCCTGTTTTGTCAAATATGGCATATCATTATACAAAAAACAGATAAACACATGACCAGAGGGCAAATACTTGTGCTGTACTCACCCGGTCTTTCTTCTTGCTGGGAGATCGCTTTGACTCTTTCTTTGCAGGTGGGCTGGCTGTGGGAGAGGACTGTTTGCGTTTCTTAGAGTTCTTAGAGCTTGTGGGCGACTTTTCTCCTACTCCATCCTGGCGCAAACTGTCCTTCAGTGGAGTGCCTGTCCTTGCGATGGCTGCACGTGAAAGAATCATGAGTGTGTGAGCAGCCATGTTAATGCTGTTTTCACTGCCAGCCTCACTGGCAGGGCTGCATGTCGGGGCATCCGGGGTGTTGGGAGGCATGAGACGCTTGGGAGTCCCCTCTCCGTTTTTACCCTTCTTCTGTCGAGAAGGAGTCCTAGGACAGTCGGCAGACTCCTCCTGGTTATGGCCAGTCGCAGGGGTCCGGGGTAGACTATTGTCTGAACTGCTTGCTCCAGGCCTCTTGACTGGGGTGGAAGGAGTGTTGATTCCCTGGATGTCCTGCAGCATCTCAGCCGCCTGTTTGGCCAGAGAGCTGGTCTTTGAGGGGGCTTTTGTTGCCTTGGACTGGGGATTAGATGTAGGTTGGGTGACAGCTGGAGGGCTAAAGTCTGATGAAGGCGTTGACTGCTGTTGCTGCTCTTGCATGCTACCCTTAATTTCATTCTCCTTGTTAGCTGTTACATTTGGTATCTCCTGAGAGGGAGTCCTCTTCTCTGTACGCCCCTCACGAGATTTGGCAGGAGCTTTTTCTGTAGGTTCTTTCCTGCTACTCTCCTCTTTCTCCTTTCTAGTTCCTGATTTCAGTGCAGAATCAGAAGACAACCTAGAGCTCTGACAATCACTGCCTTTTGCGTCATCATTACCCTTATCATGATTGTGTATCCTGTTATTAGATTCTGATCTACTTCCTGATTCTGACTTCTTCAAAGTCTCCGACTGTGAGGAATCAGCCCTGCTGGTACTTGCACTTTCAGACTCTTGTTTATTGAAGTTATAATCTTGCTTGCGAGAGTTCTTTTTCAAAGAATCTTTGTGGTGCTGTTGTGGAGGCGTGGACTTCTCTGCCTCCTTCACTAAGCCTCCTGCAGTTTGGGGATCTGCTGAGCATCTGACAATCTCCACCCTCCTCTTGGGCTTGTTGCCACCCAAGATAGCAGGCTTTGTTCGAAGGGCCAGCTGTGTATTATCTTTCTGAACAGATCGTGATGTAGATGTATTTGTAGCTGAGGGTGTGGTGGTTTTAGTTTTAGAAGTTTGTGGTTGAACCTCTGCAGAAGACTCAAAACATAAAATTCTCCTATGACTTGAGCCCTTTGCTGCATCCTGCTGGTTGTTTTCAGCTGACACAGGTTGAATTACCTTACCAACCAAATTTTCCTCAGTGCCTGAAATTCAGAGAAATATTGTCAGGAGGTAAAGCAGTGACATCAAAACCATTAACCAGAGCAACACAGAGGACACCCTTTGGTAACATTCAGTAAGAGGATCTTAACTCAGGGATTATTGCTCCAAAGTTAACCTGTAACTTACCGACGGTTGTAGACTGTTTCATTGCCACTGTGGGAAGTTTGGGCTTGACCGTTTCAGACTGCTGTACTGGTACTGGGTTTGGTATGGCAACAAGCTGTAAATATAACAATGTTGACAAGTGTTATTGCTGTGGAAATTGCTAAAAGTCTTAAGCCAGTGGGGACCTTTGAGGCTACAATGTTCTTTATTTCACACGACATAATTATTAAGTGTTGGATGGATTGAAAAACATACAAATGACTATACTTTTGCTATTATTGGAGCCTTTCCAATAGTGGGACGTAACTGTAATGTTTGTCCTGAGAAGAAAGCTGATTAAAATCTTAAGTGTTTATCACTTTAGAAGGATAAATATTCTTAACAAATATAAATATAATTTATACTTTAATTCTTCCAATTAAAGGAGATGTCATGTAAAAGTATACATTTTGGCCTGAGAATGGTATGTGGGTCAGCAGACATTAAGTTTTCTTTTGGGTAGCATGTGTGTAGTAAATTTTGTGCAAATCTGCCCAATAGATTTCAAGACACTCCGTCATGGACCAAAACATTGGTCAAACAGAGATTTTCTCCAAGGGGCAGGATGGTAGATGAGAGGTTGGCAGAATGATCAGGAGTCATCCTATTGTAAGAATTTAAGAAAAGGAAAGAACAGAAATAACTTTTAACTGCCAACTTAAACTATTTACAGATAATGTTGTTACCTGATTGGACACCATCTGGATATTCCCCAGAGTATTCTGACCCATAACAGAAATAGGAAGTACCATGGGCTTAACCGGTGATGGTAAGATGAGCGCTGACCCTGCACATAAAGAACACAAATTTTATTTTTAAATAATAACACTAAAAAAGACAATAGTAATGGGCTGGAGAGATGGTAGGCGATGAGCAACAAAGACCCACTAAACACCGGGGACAGCAAAGATCTCTGCACCAGGGACAACACACAATACATGCTGTGTGCAGATCTAGAGTGGACTGTGTCAGTTAGACCTGTGGACATCTTACAAGAAAACAAATCTTGGCTTAAAGGTAGGTGACCTGGTGCCAATATATAATGACTATGTTATTGCATTTAAAACATTTAAAAAAATAATTTCTACAGTGTTACAATTAATGTGGGCATTACAAATGTAAATTAAAAGAGTTAACACTGTGACCCAAAATCAGACCCAGCTAGTGATACCAGAGTGAGACTGAGATTAACTTTTGTCTGCTAAAATGACCCACTGTCGTAGTCTGTTGTCTCTTACCAGTGGAGTAGCCTTGAGAGCGAGTTGGTGTTTTCACCCCAAACTGGTTGGTGGGCAAAGGCTGCGCTTTTGAGACACCAGCAGGCAGTAGCACCTGTCTGGTTTGAGCGTCTGTATTCGGGGGTTCAGTCACAAGGAAATAGCTGGCAGTGGCTCCTTGGAGAGTAGGGTTAGTGGTGTCCAGGGGTAGTTGAATTATGTAGCTTTGCTGAGCCTGTGATGCCCCTGTTAATGGAGATGCGACCAATGCACCAGCCTTACAGCTGAGAGGACTAGCATGTGCCTCAGAGCTTTGCAAGCCACTAACTGCCTGTGCCACCTCATCCAAGTTGGCCTTTGGAGTGCCAGGGCCTCCAGGGGACTTAGCTGGAGAGGAAAGATAGATGGTGGGTATCTTGTCCCCGGAAATGCTGGAAATTGCCTGATTCAAGGCTGCATCACTGGCAGTATCCTCCTCCTGGTTATCGCTGATGATGATTTTCAAAGAAACTATATTACTGGAATCTGCTGCAGCCTTGCTTGGGGTGCTGGGGTTAGTGGATAAAGGATCAAGTGCTGCTGCAACTGAGGCACAGGAGGAGAAGGATGCGGGTGAGACGGGTGTAGATGAGGCAGGGGTAGCTGTAAGAGTTACAGAGGCAGAAGCAGATATGGGTAACCCAGCTGTTGATGTGAATGGTGCAACAGTGGAAGCTGTTGACAAGGCAGGCACAGCTATAAGTGTGACACCAGAAGAAGCAGATGTTGAAGAGGCAGACTCAGGTGTTACTGAATGAGCAAACATTGGCTGAGTGTCTCCTCCACCACTTGAAATCGGCATATGAGCTAGCTCAGCAGTTGGCGTTGGAGTATTGTTCAGTTCAACTTGTTCAGAAGACAAAAAAGCAGGTTGATTACTCAGAGCTGAGGAGGGGGCTGTAGCAGGTTGCTCCATAGATCCTTGTGTTTGTTTACACCCCTGTTTTCTATCCGCACTTGAGACCAACGTCACAACTGGTGCAACAAATGCAGCAGAAGCTCTTGATGAGGAAACTGTGTTTGAGTCACAGAGGACAGTTTTCATGGAGGTGCTGTCCTTTGTGGCAGGCTCCTGATTATCCATACTGTCTGAAGGAGGGGGGGGTGTATTCAATGGTTCATCAATATCCATTGGTGTCACACCAACACTGGTATTGAAGAGTGGGACTCTTTCTTTTTTGTTTGAGTCTCCTGGCCCAGATGAGACACCTCGGTGATCCCCATGACTCACTAACAATTTGGCTGAACTGTTTTCAATTCTGGATGCTCTGCCACTGGGGGCAATAACCGTTTTCTTTAACAAGGTGGGACCAGTAGACTTCCTGGTCTTACGATCTTGTCCAGTTCTCATCTTCACTGTCATTGGGGTTGCATCCGAAACATTAGTATCTCTCTGTGTAGTGCCTAAAAAAAAAAAAAAGAAGGATAAAATAAAAGACAGTTTGATGTTTAATCTGTTTATATCTATATGTTTTAGGCAGTTCTGTCTTCAATAGGGGCACAACAATTATTATTTTATACCAAAAATCCCCATCAGCAAGAGTATGATGACATTAGTATTATAATTCTGACTATATATGAACTGTTTTTTGACCTGTGTGAGATTGAAGACAATAATCAAAAGTGACATCTGTGTTGCCTTCTTATGAGAGCGCACTACTGGATTATAAGAATACCTGGATCATCGCTCTGAAGGGGTCTGACTGTAGATGAAGATCCAGCGGCTTCACTCTCTTCTGGACTATTGCTAATCTCTCCATCACCTGGTTCTCCATCAGGGAATTTGGTTTTATCTGCAAATACATATAAACATCATTAAAAATAGTCTGTTTTTGTGTGAAATGGCTTTCAAATCCAACTGAAAAGAACTGTGATTCAGAAGCACTCAACAACAAAATAAATTTTTAAAAAGTAGGTCATAGTTACTGTAATCGAAAAGGTCAAAGAGGGCTTGAAAAGCTGGGTCAGACTCTGTTTGCTCCAAAATGTCGTGGATGGCATCGTCACTCATATGGATTTCCCCCTGTGTCAGAGGATATATGTCAGGAAATAATGTAACAACACAGCTTGATGAAGTGATGATGAGGGGAAAAAAACAAAGAAATTATGCTGTTGTGATACTGGCATTTAGAGTAGTTCAGCACCTGTAATCCAAGGATTTCATCAATAGACTGATCTGCCTCCATTGTAGTTAAAGAGGCCTTTGATGTTTGGGGCGTTGGCTCACTGATGTTAGAGATGAAACGGGAGAAAATAGTAAAAAACATGTTCTACCATGCTTACAGTCATGTCACAACTTTGACTGTCACTGACAAAATCATGAACCATCTATCACAACAACTTAATATATATCTGCAGAGAGGCAATGCAGAGTCTCAACTCAGCACTTACTTGGCAAGGATTTTGTTGATGTTTTCAGCAAGCTTCTCTTGTAATGATCTGTCCCCCAGGATCTTGTCACGTGCATTTTGTATCACAAGTTGCTGTGGAGAGAGACACGTTTTGTGAAGTCACAAAATGTTTGATTCATGAATCTGTAAAAGACGGATACTTTCAAGAGAGAGCAAGCATGAAAAATATGAAATTAAATATCTGCAGCATCATGCCGTTCACTACACCGAGTCAAAAATGACAAAAGATGGTGACAATACATGGGTAATTCAGTCCTCATTTGCTGCACAAATATGGACCAAGATCATATTGTCTCTTGTTTGTTCAAAATTTCTCACTGCTAAGGAAAACAACACCAAACATACAGATCTACTTACAGGGAAGTTTTCATCAACAACCTCTTCAGGCTGAGGTTCTGCATTAACAGTAGTGACAGTTGTGGCAGATCTGCCAGGGCCACTGGACACACTCAAAGCACCACTTCTCTTCCTGGGGGTGTCCCTGAAGGTAGCAAAAAAGATTATAGCAGCCAACATGCACAAGGCATATGCAAAACAAGTACAATCTCACACAAAAACACCACAAACTTCAATATATCAATCAGCACCTCTCTTCACAGTGCTTTTACTATTGTAAAATATTAAAATGTCTTCAGGGAAAAGGTCTATCTACTACTACTTCTGTACTTTAGTTGTGTACCGAGAGAGCAGCATTTTCAAGCAACGGTGGGTTAGTGGGACGACTACATCTGTCTTCAGCGCTCTAAAAATAAGGGGTGGTTAACAATTATTACAATATAACAAGCATCCTTACCATTTCCGTCGTCCTGGAGACATCGGGCCCGGATTTAGCCGATGCTCAGACACAATGATCTGTACCGGTGAATCCCCTGTAATGGACACATGACAGCACACATCACTCAAAGCAAACAAATACAGCTTTGCTAAATCTTTCAATAGCCCTGTGGAAAATGATAAAAACCCATGGACTTCAAAAGGGAAGTTTTTATGAGCCATTACAAAAAATAAATGACTAGCTACTTGAACGCCTCATATGTGCACATAAAAACAGACCTTTGTTAAAAGAAAACAATAAATTAGCAATGCTATGTCTGCACAGCATGAAGATGAGTACCACTGGTAAGAATGTACAATAAAAGTGACTGACAATGACTGGTTAAAGAGAGGATTAAAACAGTGAAACACAAACGCCTCAACCTCGAAAACTGCATTATAAATAATATAATAACATAAAAAACATATACACAGCATGTTTCATCATACTCACTTGGAGTATTTAGTAATCGGCTGCCATCGTGGATCTGCTGGTTCGTGCCACTGCCAGGAGCTAGTCTGGTGTGCAGAGCAGTGTAGCTCACAGGAGTTGAGTGGCCGAGCATGCTGTGGGAGGTGTGCGCAGGGCTGATGATGGAGCTTGCTTCAGAAACTGACGAGCAGACGACAGTGCCAGCTGAAGCCACGGTCAGGACCCGCTGTCTAGCCATATTTGCCATGCCGATGCGTGAACGTGCTGCAACAGACAGAGGCAGATAAAAATTTTTTTGTGAATATTGTATTTCTATTTATATCTTAAATCATTGTGTGCTGTGGTGTGTGATTATGCTGATAATTTGCATATTTGATGTATAAACCACAGTGTTTCCCTTATTTTGTGAATTTATTTGTGTTGGTCTGGTGTTGAATGCTGTTGTTAGAGGCTTCAAAATTCCACATCACAATAAGCTTCTGAATAAGGAAGTCATTGTTCAGGCAGTCAGATCTTTCCAATATGTACAGCTTCACATGCTATAGGTGCACCCTAACAGAATCCCAATTACTTGACACTTTCAACAGCATTTCCACACATAACAAATCATGATAAATCAATGAAAAATACAAAAATCTCGATGGCTGTGTCAAATCTACTAACCTGGGTGTAAAATTAATGGTGGATACTACTATATACTCTGTAAATCTTGTATATGCTTGTGCACTAATAATGCACCTTTTTCAGGCTGGGCATAAACAAGAGAATAAAATGGACAAACTAATTACACACTTACTTCTCTGGCATGCTGATATAGCTGGTGAATTCTGCAATGACCTGTGGAAAGTTATAAAAAAATAATGCAACAACATCAGTGATGAAGATCACACTCAAAGACAGGTTTCAGTAAAAAGATGGAGGAAAGAGATTGTGTTGGTTTCAATGAGTTAAGATGATGAAATTGGCAGATAATTACTTGATTTGGTTGAGTGTAAAATCCAGCTTTTTCCACAGTGATGTCATCACTGCAGGTACCTCATGACAAGACTCTGTTGAAAGAACATTACCAACACCACAGACATGATACATGTATAATTTTATGAAAATTTAATTTAGTAATGGAGACAATAAAGTAATAAAATAATCGCACCTTTTGTTTTGGCAGCCACATACTCGTTCAGGATGGTTGTTAGGCCTTTCCCAAAGACAGACTATGTGGGAACAAATAATGAATCATACAAGCAATTAGGATCTTTATGCGCACGACATTCACTTCACAATATGTGACATGATTTATCAGAGAAAAAGATATGCTTACAAATACACAAGCAGGAATAGTCCCATCTCCTGTAGTGTGCTCAGCATATTCTTTCAGGTTGGAGCTCTCGAGAATGAAAGCTTGGCTTGTAGCGGACAGTCCCTCCTCTTGCAGGTACCCTGCAGAAGACCATTTACCAACAGCGAGTTAGAGAGAAACATCAATAAAACAAAGCTCAAACTGCCATCGAATAGTTACCCTAAATACAGTTGTAAAATGTGAGCCGCCTGTTTACGGTTTAGTGTCATTGTTAGCGGATGGCGCGTTCAGGTCATATCGTTTAAACCGAAACTACGAGCTGCTGAGTGGGAAAAATAATAATAGAAAAAATAGTTAAAATTCCAAGTCAGAAAAGTTGTCGATTTCTGACAGCGACGCTATGGTGAAAAGAACTACAGTGAAACTGTTGGGAGAAAGGCTGCAAAAGCACCACAGCTGGCAGCTAGCTACATCAAAATACAATCCGTTAATCTCATTTTATGGGAGCTATACACTGTGTGTATCCAGTTTTACTCGGCAAAGAACTACTACAAATACGTAACACAACAACAGTAGCTAATTAAAACTCTTTATCTGACAACACTGTTAGCTGGCACAAAGGCTAACACACTGGAATAAGGCGTGAATAATGGTTGTTTTTCCTGTTCTTTCCTTTCTGCAGACTTCAAGCGAATGCAGCACAACGCTACAGTTTTTGCTGCGTTTGACCAGACTCACCCAAAACAAGCCGAGCGACGTCGGACGGCAACAACATGACTGCTTGTTGGTTGATACAAAAGACGTAGTAATGAAGAATTAGCTACATGTTCAGGAAAAATCTCTCAGAAATCCGTTATACAGCGTCAAATTAAAAAAATAACCGTCAGTGGTTTTACTGTGAAGGAGTCGTCCGGAGGGGACTGCTGCTTACTCAAAAGGCGGGGAACTCAAGAAATTACAACCCGGAAGTATTAAATTAATCTGCCAGTTGGAATCTTGGTAGTAGTAGTCCAATCCAAAACGCCTAACTCCACTATACCCTGCAGGTTGCTATATACATTTATAAGAATAAAATAGATTGAACATAACTTCTACATGTACTCTATCGATGTAATACCATAGCACGAAGCTAGGCAGAAAGTTTGTTTTAATTCTAGCACTAAAAAAACGGACTCACTCAATACTAGCAATGGCCTGGATATGATGTAGCTTGCTCGATTCTGCTGGGGCGGGAATTTCCTGTTTGTGCGTGCGTGTGTTAACACGTTAAAGCACGTCAAGATGGAAAAGTTGTCAGACAAGGTACATCAGCTAGCTCCGCTATCACTGTAGCTCCTCAGGTAATATCTGCAGCTGCATGTGTGACAGCTCCGTCACTACAATCAGTGCAGTGATCAGGGGACAGTGAACAGAGAGAGCAGCAGCTCGAGAGTTTGAATGGACGTTTGTAAATCAAGTTCAAAGCAAGTGTGGTAATGTTGTGTTGCTAAAGTGTAGGAGAGAAGAGAGCTAATGCCGTTGCAAAGTAAATGTAGTATAGGCATACAGTAATGTGGACGAATAACATCCTCTCGTGTCATCATCCTGTCTCAGCAGGTACAATAGTCTGCTCTACATTGATGAAAGCTGTGCCCTAACCCAATGTGCAGCACAATGAATTTGGCTCTTGATGATCTCCGGGACTGCTGCAGGGGGCTGGAGAATGACAAAGCCACAGAGAGGAAGGTAATATTATAATATACAATCTATAATAATATAAACAATGAAAAGATATATATTGCAGCAGGCTTTTTCAGCCTCACTGCAGCCCAAGTTTAACGAGCAAGTGCAGTACAAATCCTACATCTCCTTCATGCCTCCAGAAAGAAGCTGAACGCTTCAGACGGCTCATTCGATGTCCAGAAGTTGTGCAGGAGTTGGATCGCACCTCAGGGTCTAAAGCTAAAGCCTCCAAGCAACTCACATGGGATACTGTTTTCAGGTGACCTGCCTCTGCATATTTGCATTTTTGGTCATGTGCAAAACAATGCATAGAAGGTTATCTAGTGTGAATCAAGTCACATTTTGGTTCTTTGGGGTTTGATGTGTGTGCCTTGGCAGTCTTTGCTAAAATCTGGAACTGTGGTGTTATTACTTTGTACTTTGTCTGCTAAGTAAGTTCCGTTTCTTTCTGTCTTACCATTTTAATTTCACTTTTGTTTCTTTGCATCCTCAACCAATGAATACCAGCTGGCTTCTGGGAACTCTGCTGTGCCCAATAATCAAATGGAAATTTGACATACCATAGTAGATTTCTAGTTGTTTCACAAGAATCTGTTTTCTTTCTAAATAGTGCAAGATGCTGTAAATTGTGCTCATAATAATTGTGGAAATTATTAAGAGTATTGAATCAGTTAGGTTCAATTATCTGCCAGAAGAAAAAATTTAAATGAAACTTTCTATTCTGATTTGCATACACTCATTTTTCCCATGCCAGATTTCTGCAGCGCTACATCCAAAAGGAGACAGAAAGCATGCAGTCAAGTAAATCCGTCACAGCGACAGCGCTGGCCACAAGGAAGAAGAAGATGGCTGAAATGTGCAGTTTGATCAAATACTTCATTCGTTATGCAAACAAACGTAAGGGCACTGTCTTGGTGAGATCCAGTAGTAGATTACACTTTAGTACACACATTTACAATATAAGCTTACCCAAAAAGGTTTGTGTTGTGTCACAGTGAGGGGTGTTTTTGAACAAATGTTGTAATCGTACCTGTCATTACTGCACCTGGCTCATTCAATTCAGTGCTGAGCAGAAAAAAACCCAGCGCAATCTGTTTGAATTAACATAGGTATTGTAGTTTAAGTTTGTGTTTCTGTCTCTCTCTGCAGGCGGGCCTCGTCTAAAGTGCAGTGAGCTGCTGAGACACGTGATGGAGGTGCTGCAAAGTTCGTACAGCTGTTCAGTTTGTGGAGAAGATTATAGCAGTCTCCTAGTAAAGGACATCCTGTCCGTCCGCAAGTACTGGTGTGACATCGCTCCACAGCAGTGGCAGAGTCAGTGGGCTGTTTGTCTAATTATCTAGGAAATTATACTTCTTGATTTCTTGATATGATCAGATTATCCACTCCAACAGAGTAAATGTTAAACTTCTGATAAAAAATAAGAATGGATTTGTATTTACTAGCACATTACATTGTGTTATAACCGCCTGTTTTTTTAATACTTTCTCACTGAGTCAGTTACATGCTGTTAAACTGAATCCCCTGTTTATTTTTGTGACCCCCTAGGTCTTTTGGACTTGTACTGTAGCTTGTTCAACTCTTCATCCAAACCCATCAACCATGTTTTAGTGAGCAGAGTCATCCACATAGTGGTGCAGGGCTGCTGCATGCAGACTGATGGATTTAACAACACTCTGTTCGGCTTCTTCTCCAAAGCACTTCTTAATGCCAGGTGAAACCTTTTACCAACCTTTTGAATTCACTGTATCTGCTAATTCCTCCCAACACTATTTTAGTCTTACTTTGAAATAGTGCTGTACTATGGGTAGTTAGTTAGTTGTTATTAAAAAAAGAACATTACGCACTGTGTGTTTTTCTTAACTAAATCCTATGATGCTGTTAGACAGGAGAAGTACTTGACTGTTTTGGAGCACCTCGTCTCGGCTCTCAACATATTCTTGAGATCTGCGGCCATGAACTGTAGGATGAGGGTGTGTCACCTGGGAGAGGAGCTTCTGCCTTCTATACTGCACATCTGGGTGGATAAGAGGCCCAGTGCTGCTCTCAAAGAGAAGATTGTGGAGTTCTTCAACCTGCAGATTTGTGTTCACCACCCCAAAGGAGCCAAGACACAGGACACAGGTTGAATTATCTTTCCTTTTTCTTTAAAACAATGTGTGTTTCTACTGGTGGTGATACCTTTGGTTGTCCTTGAATGGCAGACAGGCTTTACTGTGAGTCACATATGGTCCCATATACTGTAGGTTTCCACTTATTTGAGGAATATAGCAATGAAGTAGAAAGAACTTTAACTAAACTTAAAAAAGATTTTAATAGCATTTGACCATTTCTGTCTTTAAACATTTGGACCAATGAAATACATGGGATCTTGTTGTCTGTAATTGTAAACAAGCCAAGGAAGAGTGCACTAGTAGACTTCTGCATGCAACTTATAAAGACACTTATTCTCAGGGACCGCTGATGTTTTAAAGTGTCATTTTGGCAATTTTCCTTGTTTCTAATACAAATTGCTCCACCGAGGGAAGATTTTTCAGCTGTTTTGTGATTGTGAGTGATCATAATGTAATCCACCCCCTCATATATTAGGTGCTCATGCTGAGGACTGGACGAAGTGGCGGAGTCAGCTGTACAGCCTTTATGACGCTTTGGTCAGAGAAATCAGTCATATAGGCAGCAGAGGGAAGTACGTCACAGGGACAAGACACATAGCCGTAAAAGACAATCTCATTGAGCTCACAGCCGACATCTGTCGTCAGGTAACAGAGATCAAGTCTCAAGTGTGCATTAAGAAATCACAATTTTGCTTGATGTAAGTATGAGAATTACCTGTTTTGACAACATGATGTGCTTGATCTTCATCTGTTTCCTGCCTGTTGTAGCTCTTCACTGATGACAATGAGACCCATATCTTGGAGGTGACCCAGGCCTCCCTCAGAGCCACGCAGATGGGCAGTCCCACCCATGGAGCAGCCAGCAAGCGACGCCGTATCGAACTGGGCTGGGAGGTCCTCCGGGACCATCTGCAGTCTCAGCAAAGTGACTTTGATATCATACCATGGTGCGAAAATCACAACACAATTAACGTAATAAGAGCATTGTTTAAGGTAAAGTGTTGTTTCTCTGATCATGTTAAGATCCAAACTTATTTCATTTACTCCTCTCAGGCTGCAGATCACTGCAGTGCTTGTCTCCAAGTACCCATCCATGGTGCCTGGCCATGAACTGGTCCCACTGCTGTCAGTGTTGTACCAGCTCCTGGCAGAGCAGCGGAGAGGAGAGAGGGGGCCATATGTGCTGCGCTCTCTGAGGGAGGTGGCCCGCTGCCAGGCTCACCACCCAGAGAGGACCCAGGTCCACAGGGCCGAATTGGGCAGGCTATGGGGTCGGGTGTGGGCCCTGGCACTGCGAGGGGTCAGCTCACCCCAGACTGAGGCCCTCAGCTTCGACCTGCTGGCCTCCATTGTCCATGGTGGACTTATTGATATGGACAGAGAGTTCTGGAAGCTTTTCTCTGGATCAGCATGCAAACTATCCCAGTAAATTTCTATTTTTCTCATCTTGCAATGATAAAATTGTTAAATTGTGTCTTTGTTGATACAGAAAATGTGTCATTAGAATAAATTAGTGTGTCTCAGTGTGTGCATGTAGCTCCCATCACAACTTTCCCCCTCTATCCACAGGAGTGCCGCTGTCTGTCTCTCCCAGGCCTTGCTTAAGTGTCCGGTCCCCAAGAGGCTCATCCCGAGCTCAGGTTGGGACTATGTAGGGGTCACAGAAGGATCTGGGTCTCCAAACCTGAAGGAGACCCTCATAGCGTGGCTGCTGATGAGTGATCAGAGTGATGAGATGGAGGATAGCTCCAGACCTCACCCCATCATTTGCAGGTTGTGACTGTGTTGCTTTTCCATGTTAACTGCAGATTTGTCTGTCAGCATATTTTTATCTTAGCTCCATACTTATTTAACTGTAATATCTTGAGACGGTCTGCTTCCACAATGGTTTGCTTCACACACTGTTACACTGGTATACTTATCTCTTTATTTTGATTGTAAGATAAAAGTCTGTAAACTGATGTTTTCTTATGGTTTTGTTTACAGAGACTTTCCCTACAATCTAATAGCAGGCATCCTGGTCTCCTTGACCTTGAAGGACACCAGAGCTGGCCTGAGGTTTCTGCTGGGT